GCACAATGGTTCCCAGGCAGTGACAGAGCGTGATTCAGCAACCAAGCTCTTCTTTTATTCTGTTATCATCAGACATTTTGCCTCCCATTTTCTTTTCTCCTCCATTCTCTTTTATGTAATTCTTTAAAGGAGAACGTTGGATCCAGCTGCCCACCTTTTTTTATTTTTATTTATATTTTTAATAAGAAGCTCATCTCTTCCTTGGCACTGTTTGGAATGTGGCTTAACAATACCACCTGACGTGCAGCTGGGGGAAGGTGGCTGGGTGAGGACAGAGGCAGCACGGAATGGTAGGCATCTGACACTGATGGTCAAATACTGACCTGCTCTTGTGGGGTGGGGTGATGGATGCTGAGTGTTTCTTTAAGGATGGGGGAACAGAAGGCAGATTAATGGAGCAAATGGTGAATTGGAGTGGGATGGCTGCATCCCTATGTATTGTGGCTGAGAATCGTGTTCCTGTGTTAGGGTCTGTAAAAGTGTGTGTTTGGGTGTTTCATTGGTTGTGAGAGCAGCGCACATCATGGATGGGGTGACAGTGCTTCACCAGCTGGCTCATGTAAACAGTTGTGGTTTGCTCAGCCTCACTGCTGCCTGGGGGCTTTGGGAGGAAAGAGGGGTCTCAGTGCACAATTCAGCAGCAAAGAGTACATTATGGGAGTTGTATTGTCCATGCAAAGCCATATAAAATGAGAATCTGTGAAAGCAGAAGAGAAGGTGATGCTAAGCAAATGGAAATTTGGAGGGCATGAGTTAGTGGGCATGATGGGGATAGGACAGAGGTTGGGCATGATGATCTGAGAAGTCTTTTTGATTCTTTATGATTCTATGATTTTTTTTTTTTTATGACATAAGTCTTGGCCTTCAGCAAAGTGGCTGAATGGAGAGGGAAAGGGAAAAAGGTGCTGGTGGGCAGAAGGATCTGAAAAGCTGTTCTGAGTGTGGAAGTGTCCTGTAAAGTAAGCTGTCCAAGGAAACCATTGGTCTTCTGTGTGACTGCTCCAGCATAAGTGAATGGAAAAGCTGGCTGCGTCTGATGGCACCATGGGAGCTTTGGGAGAGGTGTTTACAGCACGCTGCAGGGCAGCTGCTCTGCAAAAGAGCTCAACACTTGCTGAATACTGCAGTGGAATTAGTGCTGCTTTGCAGGGAGATATTTTGACAGAAAAGCTCTTGTTACAAGAAGAAACAGTAGTTTTTCTTCTACAGAGGGACCTAAAAAGAGAGAAAACAAATGCTATTTGCCTAATGAAGTGTCAGCATTGTTGTGCTCCCAGCGACTCAAACTGGGCATGTTCCATGGCGTTTGTCTTCAGTGGCTTTCAGTTCTTTACATGGGCTCCTTTTGCTGCATAGCTACATGGTATTTTCACTGCAGCCTTTCCCTCCTGTGATGTACTCTGTGTGAGTTTTGCCAGAGATCTGTTTAAAGTCATACCAACAGTCCTTGAAAATACAGATTTCTGGGGGGAGGGGGAAAAGAATAATGGGGTTAAATGGACTGGAGTTGGTTGGTTGTTGTTTTTTTTTTGTTGTTTTTTTTTTTTTTTAAAGAGAAAAACGTAAATGCCTGGAAGAAGTCTGCAATCAGGTTTTTGGAGGATACAGAATGTAAAGCCAGCTTCAGAAAATGGGAAAGGTTTAAATGGGATGAGATGGCCTTGTTTCTGCACGGGGCTGTTATCTTTGCCCACATGTAAGCTTGCTTTGGTTTTGTGCCTTGGGGAGGTTCTCCAAACCTCGGATCTTTAACCCTATTTCAGAATGCTGCTCTGTAGCCATCAGCCAAGAAAGCTCCAGAGCAGTGTTTTCTTCCTCATACTCCTGCTGTGTGCTCACTGTCTTGATGCTAGGAAAGGTGGCAAGGAAATACCTTTCAACTGGCTGAGCTAATGGCTTTCTCCTGGGGGGAGCAGATGTGAATGACAAAGGTGATTTGACCTCGGCCATTAAACCATATTCCTTCTCCTGACCCTCAGTGAGCTGTGTGCTCACACGGTGCTCCATCCTGCTGCTCCAGAGCATGCAGAATTAATCAGAGTCCTGGTGTAATTGTTACTGTATTGAACAGTGTTAGGATTACAGGCATGTTTCTAAATGGGTAAGGGCAAAAATCACTTGACGTGAAAAACTGGTTGATTTCAGTTGCCTGTCTGCCTGCTTGGTGCTAGCAAATGTTCTCCTGTTGTTGGAAATGTCTGCACTGAGGGAGCTTTTAGTGAGCAGATTTTGGGAATGTGTGGGTTTTTGTTGTTTTTAATTGATTGTTTGTTTATAATTATTATGATTATTTTGTTGCTGTCAGTCATTGGCATATTTATAGCCATTTAGGGAATTAATTGTAATTAATCAGCTGTTATAAGGCAAGAAATCTTCCAGTAGTGCTATGGTATTAAATTTCACTTTAGAAAACAAAGAGAAAGCCATCAAAATGTCTCTACCATTGTATTTGGAAATGTCACAAAACTCTCCCAGGATTTGCAGTCAGTTGTACAACTTATGCAGGAAGGGGGAGATGAAGCAGTCTGGAAGGAATGGGATATTGGCATTGCTCTTTAGAATATCATATTTGTATTAAGATTTGGAAAACGGAAAATCTGCACTTGCACCCCCAGCTTTAAAAATTGGTATCTCTTAAACTCTTATGCACTGTAAACTGAATCAGTTCTTGGGATAATTCTTAAGTAACAAAAAATATTGTCAGTGTGCTGATAAGCCTTCAGAACAAAGTTAAGACTGTTGTGTGTTACTGATTTTTTTTATTTTTTCCTGTTTGCTTGTTTATGGTGAGCAATCTTATATCCATAGACCCTCCCATTCCATCTTGAATTTATAACACCACTACTAGAAATTAGAGCCTGAAGGTCTAATGATTGCAATGCTACCATAGCTGCTGCTCTGTTTTGTCATCAGACTTCTCTGGATCCCAAAACCAACAGCTTTGCTACCAACATTTCTGCCTTGTCACTGACTTTATGAAATAGTGGTTTGAATGGGGCCACCTGCAAGAAAAATTGACCCTAATGAAGGGCAGAAGCTAGGAGGGGAAATGCTGCTCTTGCTGTAAGCTTCTTTCTTGCAGCACCATCTGTGTAGATAGACATAGGAACATGTCTTTCAGAGAAACAAAAAAGCTTTTGTAGTCAAGTAATGGTGTTGGTCTGAAACTGAAAGCAATGTGTAACTTTGTTGGTGTGAAATGTGAGGTAGTAGAAATTGGTTTTCTTTTATCTTTCTCAGTGATAATGAGATGTAAGGATAGATTAAAGCAGGACTGAAGGTGGTACAGGATTCCATGACCCACAATCTGCAGAAATTGAACAGTTGTCCTTCAGCCGAGTTGTTGTATTTCCCTTTTAGCCTGATGCACCTGGTTTTGTTAGGCCAAAAGTGCCCTTCACACTAGCTGTGCTTAATATAGAAGGACGGGAAGCTCAATTCCTAATACTTCTTAGTCTGTTTTGTTTGTTCATTAAACAGTGATTGATTTATTTATTTTTAATTTTGCATATGAATGTACTGGTGGCAGTAGAGTGTTCTCACCTCCACGTCGAGGGAAGGTCATTAACTTTATCTTTGGATTAAGTCTGGAGAATATGACAGAATCAGAGCCTCTTGGGGGGGGGGGGAAGAGCAGTTGTACTTTTACACAGAGGTTCTTTTCTTGTCCAGGATTAAGAACACCATCGTGACTTCATGATTATAGGCTCTTGTTTGTATCACAGTGAGATATGGAAAATTTAGGGTACTTCCAGCTCCTAGCATAGATGCCAATTTTCTGTGTTGTAATAAACACTGAAAGCAGAAGGCTCTGAAGAGCAAAATTCCATCAATAGCTGTTTCAGCAGGATTTCACAGCAATGGGTCAGGTAACTTGGAATTATGAATTACATCTCAGGGAGTTGGGGAGTTTGTGATTTGGATGTAAAGTGTTGTGGTCTCTCACTGATAAAGCAGTTGTTTTAACATATAGATTTTTATTTATATTCCATGACTTCCAAGGTACAGTTCACTTTTCTTTGGAGTTATTTGAAGACATTGCAAAATAATGCTAAGAAAATATTGCCCAGAGTTTAGTGATGATCAATGATGAATGCAGTTGCCTTCTGCTTAACACTCATCACCTATTTGTATGCTTGGGGTTTTGTTCAGTAGTTAGACACCAGAGTGGTATGCAATTGTTTCTCTTCTCAGTTACTGTTTATTCTCACAGCTTCTTACATTTGCTGCTTACCCTGTTTCTTAAGCTTGTGTGGAAGTACGAATGCTCCATCATTTGCAAGTGCTTTGTTGTGGTGGTGCTTTTTAAGAGCATCGTGATTTCATAGAAGGCAGCAATTCAAGGGCTTTCCTTATGCCTCAGTGTATCAACGTTTCATAAAGCACTTCTGTTGCCAACTTTTGATCACAAGTCAAATTACAGTGTAATCCCCAGCTATTATTAATAGATGCCTGTGTATAAATCTCAGCATTTCAGTGCAGGTTGCTGAAGTTTCCTCCTCCAAGGAAAAATCAGAAGATCTCATCTGAAAAGATGAAATAGAAACAGACTTAAGGACAGTTTCATGATTTGTAATGCTGTGTGTTGTAATTTGGAATAGTTTTGAACATGAGCTCCTGAACAGTTGGGTTTGCCCTCCTTTATTTTTCCATTTTTATTTTTTTTGTGAAAAATAAGCATGACACCTCTTTCCCATTTAAGCAGCACTTCATTTTGTGTTATTTTTGGTCTTTAACATTTTTTCTTTCCAGGTAAGAAAGTAAGCTAATGGTCCATATAGATACTTTCCTGAATGGGAATATCAGGAAAATCGTAAATTTCTTTGTTGTGTGACATGCAAGTATTGATGCTCTGGTTTAACTTAGTTTGTCTGTGTTTAACTTGCCTAAAACCCCCAAACCCAAATGTTTTTCTCTTTTTTTTTTTTTTTTTTAATGTCTAGGGCTAGTATTAGAAAGCTGTACCAGCAGCCAGCCAGTCTCCAGTATCAGCTATGGCAACTCATGTGTGAAGCTGATGCCTTCAAACCATTTCCTATAGATGAGGCATAGCACATGCTGTGGTGAGTTGACAATATACCATTTTATTAAATCATGTTCCTTGGCAGAATAAGTGCCAGAGTGAATGCTGACTATTATAAGTGTGAGGATAAAATTTCAGCTTCTAGTAACTGTTCATGCATTTGAGCTTAATGCTTCCTTGTTGTAAATGCCTTTTTCAAGTATATCAGTGCTGTGTTGTACATGTTGCTATCAGATGTGTTGGCAATATGGCTTTGGTGGAAGAGTGAAGACAAAGATAATAAAACTAAGATGAGAGACCCTTTTTTATTGTTGTTTTATATTTCTTTTATTTGAGGCAAGTGAGAGGAAAGGTGACTTGGTTTCTCTGTCTGTGAGATGACTGAGGAGGCATAAGACGATTTGTGACATATTTTCCTGTCCTGGGATGAAGAAATTTACAGCAAGAAAACAAATTCTGAGAATAGAGATAAAAATCAAATAATGTTTTTTTTTTGTTTTTTTTAAGTACACTGTCTTGAAGCATATGCAAATCTACAGGAGTAATTTTAGGACCAAAATTACTTAAGATGTTTTCATTGATGTTTTCTCTAAGGTTATTCTGGCTTATCTTTGGGATATGCAGAGCTGGTTTTATGTGTCTCGTAATTAGAGAATAGACATTGTGAAATCCTGCAAGTCTTTAGGGTAAACAAATTTCCATTCAAAATATGCTTATACACATTTTTCCCCATCTTAATAACAGCTAGATATTGACTAGCTCCTGTCACCACAGTCAGCATGAACAGGAAGTCAAGAGTTTTGAATAAAAGAATCAGGTACAAGTTGCTCTGTAGATTTCATGAAAGTCTTCTGTGATTTGGCTGTTATTAATGGTTAAGGTCATATTCCATTTCTGAGGCTATTGCGAAAATATTGCGTAAATTCAAGTCATCAAAATGTTCCTACTTTCCAGCAAAATATAGAATTTCTATGATTCTGTAGATTAGGCAAAGATGAACACTTGCAGTACATACAGACTGGTGGGCAATAGCGGTACGTGGCTAATAGCGTAATAAAGTGTCTGATAATGTGCCATTGTCATCCTTGGTAGAACTGCTGGAAAGAAGAAACAAAAAGAAAAGATTAGGTGGTTTTATCTACTTGATTCTGTTCTGGAGTAAAATGTGTGAGAATGTAGTGAAAAGCAATGTATATGAGACCATTGAAAGATGTTGTGTACTGTTGGAATTTAACATGCCTCCAAGGCAGGAAACCATGTATTTGACATGAGTAATATTTCATGAAAGAATCCTAGTCGGGATGTCTTCTCCCCTGACTTGTGGACATTCAGTGTAAGGTGCTCATTTAGAACTTGAAAACTTCCCTGTATTACCACCATGATGCATTTGAATTCTTAGAGATTAAGGTCTATGGAGTCTGATCAAAAGCAGTTCTTGTTAGCAAGGCAGATTTTATCTTGATGTAGTATGTTGATTCTTACGTCTGTGAGACTTAACTCTTCTTATATGATTGGGTTTGGCTGAGCTTTGAATTAAGTGCAAAACCATACCACTGTTTCTTTTCAATTTTAATTTCTGTGTTTAGCAGCACAGAGGTAATTTGCTAGTTGTAGATAATAACAGTTTGTGTAAACTTGTAACAGCAAAATATGACTCATGGCAAGTATGTGTTGTGCAATTTTATTCTAATATAACAAATACAGGATTTTGTTAACATGTCTGCAATTAAATCAGATAAGTTGCATGGAATTTTGATGGTATTGTCTATGTGCTAACATGATTAGCCCATAGGTGTGAGTTCATACTCTCTCACCGTGAACATTCTAAAAATTGGTGAATATGTTGAAAATTCTTTTTGAAGAAGCTGAGTGTAATCTCCACTTCTATAGCATTTAGTGGTATATGCAAAGCTCAGTGCTCATTTTGTCTTCATGGAACACAGTGATACTTCAGCCTACAAGCTGTGTGACTTGATCATTTGTCCCTCAGGTCACCAAGATGCCTTCGAGTGTTGCAGCTATGAATACTGTTGCACAGTATTTAAATCATGCATGTTGTGTTTGGTTGACTTTCTCTATGAGTTCAGTGCTCTCTTCTGAGTAATTTCCTCTAGCTTTGTTCTTCCCATCTGTTCTTTAAGTTTTTTTTCAGTTCAGCTTGGATACTGGGAGAGATTGCTTTTTAGAACGAGTGGTGAGGCATTGGAATAGGCTGCCCAGGTGGTAGCATTACCATCCCTGGAGGCGTTCAAGAGCCATGGAGATGTGGCACTGAGGGATGTGGTCAGTGGGCTTGGTGGGGTGGATTGGGGGTTGGACTTAGTGACCTTAGGGGCCTTTTCCAATCTCAGTGATTTTATGAAGATGGGTGATCAGCACAAACAGCGGTTTTCAGAAACTATGTGATGAGGAGTTTGCTTGATGCTATCTTTTTCCTCAGAGATGCTGTAAGTGGAGATTTACTTGAGAAACTTTCCTTCCAGATGATGTCTTGTTGAGAGTCAGCACTATTGAGTATTTTAAGAGAAAAATCAAAGAATGTGTGGTCTTGCTCTGAGTACGCAGCTCCACAGGAAGGAAAGTCTGAGTCTCTTTAGGAATATTATGTCCTTTATGAGTTGTGATCAGATGTAGATACAGTCCTGTAAAAGTTGCATGAAGTTGGGACAACTTGAAATCTTCAGCTTTTGATATAAAAATATTTATACTTTCTGTTCAGGATCTCTTCAGTTAATATTGTTCATATTCACATGCAAGTTCATTCATTCTTCATCCAAACATTCCTGCTCATGAAAACAAAGATTTTATAGCAGTGGAAGTTGTACGTGAAGTCAGAAACCTTGTTCAAAACTTTGCTTTTAACTTTCAAAGGAAGAGTCTTATCCTACACTGTTCAGAGAACTGCCTGTATGGAAGACAAAACATTAAGTGAGTTTGGTAGTTACAGTAGACTTTTGTCAGAGGAGCTTAGAGCACAATTTCTGGAGAAGCTGGTGTTTTGCTTCCCTGTCTTCCTTAGCAGGAAAAGCTTGTGTCTATAAAAACTGCTGTATGACAACAAATGAGACAAACTTTTTTTGGATAGTGTTGTGCAGGATGTTTTAATTCCCTTCTGAAGGCAGAATTCTTTTTTCTGCTTTTACTTCTCACTCTGGTGCATATCCCTTCTTCCTCCGTCTTTAGTTTGCCATTTGATATTCTTTGCGGCTGGTAAAATTCATATTTTAAGTGATACTGAAATGCAGTTTTCTCAACTCTTGCAGCTATTTAAAAAGCCCTAGGCTCAGTGACACATACATATGAGAAACTGTGAGCTTCCTTTTAATAAAAAGTAGGCTTTTCATCCTTATTCATTTAAAAAATAAAAAATTAAATAAAAAGAAAAAAGAGAAAATTGAATATCTTACAGCTCAAGGCTTCAAATCATTCCAGCAGTTCCATGAAGGCTATTCCTTTGTGGTATCACAAGATTTTGGGAACATGTGACAAATTTTGACTTTTGGGTTTGATGTTATTTAATAAAGATGATGCCTTTATTTATTTTATTTATTTATCATAAGACCGAAGTGCACATTCATCATCTTTCTGAATGCTTGTTGAGACATGGATGTTAAAATGCAGATGTCTGTCTTTAGGAGTTCTCCAGGTCTTTAGTTTCACTCTGTAATACTGATGATCAAATGCTTTTATTTTACCATGTCAGTCTGTGCTTCGTGAAAAGGAGTAAACTTAATGACTCTTATATTTCCCTGTGCCAGGTGAATGTCTCAGGTGAAATGCTGGTATCTCTGCTGTATCTGTTGAGTTGCTGATGGAAACATTACCTCTGCGCCACCTGGAAGGTGAATTCAATGTTTGGCAGGCTCTCCTCCCAACCTTATGAAACATCCAGCAGTATTGCTGCAGAATATGGGAACAGTGTCAAACAAATGTCCTCTGAATCTTGGAATAGTTTTTCAGTGTCATCTGTACATGTTGTGTAAAGATAATTTAAATAGCATGCAGAGGAATAAATGAAAATGCTGAATCAGAGCACAGAGAATGGTGCCAGCAAAGAGGTAGGAAGGAGACCAAAGCATCAGTGAACTCAGCTGTGTGTATGGTCATGGCATACCTGTAATACATGAAGTGGTAGGAAGTATTCTGTAACCACATAAGGAAATGCTTTCCCTATTTCCTCTTCTACACTTCTTAATGTGTTTTCTGATTTCTGTGCCTATTTATGTGCTGTTGTTACAAAAATGATCTCATGTCTCAGTCTGCCAACAGGAGCAAGTGAAAGGTCTGGCAGGTATGGACAGAGGAGGACTCTCCAGAGAGCTGAGTTTTCTGGGATTTTTCCCAACTCCCTGTAGATCCACAGGTTGATCCTCAGGCTCTGCAGTGTCCTTGTGTTGGATGCAGACCTCTGTATGGGTGGCAGGTTGGTGAGAAGAGGACCATTGCAGGGGTGGTACCACCACTTGTGCATTATTACTATGCTCTGAGGTGCTAGTGAAATTTATTAGAACAACTAATCTGCCATGAGTATGAGAAACAATTATTAAATGGATGTGCTTGAGCTTCTGGATAGTGGATAGCTTTGTGTATAGTTGTTTTTTTTTTTTGGTTTTTTTTAAAGAATTGGAGTTGTTCAGCCTGTCTGTAACTTGAAAAACCTAGGTTGCTGCCTTCAGTGGCCATTAACCAAATATTTGGTGATTAAAAGTAAGAACAAGATAGCAACAAAGAATGCTCTAATGATTACCTGAGCTCTCTGATATTCCAGGAATCTGATTGTATCTTGGTTGGTATTTTTTTGGTTTTTTTTAGATAGATATTTGGTCACCTTTTACATATTATCTGTTGCCATCTTCAACACTTTCTAACTCCTTTCTGATTTATGATCTCTTTTCTAGATATTTAATGTGAATAAGAAGTTCTACTTGCAGAGCAAGTGATGACTTCTAGTTGACATTAGGTGAAGCTACTGCTCCTATCCCAGGAATAAAAATATTTGCGTTGTAAGATTGCAGGGTCTTTGAAAGAACTATGAGGCTG